ACGAAAGTGACCTATTTAGGGGAGTCCCCAATCTGGATAGTTTCTAGGTCTCCTATAGGTCGTAAGCGCTTTGATTCCTCCCTGTGATCTAGAGAGTCGACTTGAAGAGTTTCTTGTTGCTATCTTTCCTTCATGGAGAATACATAGCATTCTCGTGCTATAACTTGACCTCCGTGCACTTCCCCAACTCCCACCTTGGTTGGAAATCTGATGAGGAGGTGATATGTTGCAGGAACCGGCCTCATATCGTTGAGGCTTGGATGACCCAAGATAACATTGTATACTAGCGAACTATCTAGGACCTGTCATTATAGTGGTCTATCATAGTGTCAACTTAGTTGTGGCTAGTATAAATACGGATCCTATGGGGGTAAGCTTTTTTCGCTTGAGAATCCAATGAGTTGGAGCTGTGAGATCCATCATGCATGTATAGCATTTGTAAGAAAAGAAAATAAAATAAAAATAAAAATTACTTCGGCAAGATTTCATAGCACTAAAAATAATAATAATAAATATATGATATAACTTAATTGAGACAAATACGTAATTAGTGGAATTGATGTATTAAATTACTAGCAACTTCATGTAGGTTCTATACTATTCTATATCTTGCAAGAATACCCTTTTATATCTTTAGCTTAGATTTATTTGTTTAAAATTCTTTTAAGTCCACTATTCAGCCCCTACGTTATTTGATTCTTCTTTCCACATACTTCAAACTAAAGTTTGGTTTATGCTTTTGACTACAGAGTTTTACATGGAGGCTTAAAGCTTGCTCTAGTCGCGTTGAAGTCTTTGGGCTGGTTCGGAGGTGACTCCAACTATTGCAGCTCCACCTAGAGGTTGAGAATGACATTACCCAGTTGTTGAGTTCTTTGAGGTGAGTATTCTATTTCATATAATTAATAATTGTGAGAGCATAACTATGCTTAATAATGTATGAATGTGTTGATTATTGGCTTTGAGATAGCAATATGAATATGCTATGTGGTATTAAGTGGTGAATATAACCTTATTGACTAATACCAGTTTATTATTAATGGATGAATGTGTAGACTATTGTATGGTGATGGCAATGTGTATGATAAATAGCCTTATTGGTAGATGAATAGCCTTTGTAGCTAGTATAGTCTTNCGTTGATATTCTATGTACCTCCCAAGAAGGCCTTTTTGGATCAGATCTTCTATTTGGTCCTTCAAGACCTGACAATCTTCCATATTATAGCCTTGGTCCTTGTGGAAACGACAATATTTGTCCCTAGACTTTTGCAAGGATGAAACTTCATATTCTCGACCCATTTATGAATCCTCTCATCTTGAATCTATTAGAAGATCTACTCGACGAAAGTGTTTAATGGAGAGTATTTCTGAGTCAGGTCGTTGGGGATGTGAGGTCCTAATCAATCCCTCGCACTAACCCTCTCAAAACGATTTTTCTTTGGGCTGCTCATCCTTTTCTTCCTGCTCGGTAGATCCCATCTCCTATTGTCTTCTTGTCGATCTTCTTGTGTGTCCTCCTAGTTTCTGTGTGCTAGGAATGTGTTCTTAGTGTTCATGTAGCTCTGGGCATTTGCCAAGAGCTTAGCCATAGATGAAGACGGTTCTTTGGAGAGGGAAAAAAGAAACTCATAAGACTGAACCCACTTATGAAGGTAGTCAAGGCTACCTTATAGTCGACATTGTCAATCTACAAGGATTCCTTAATAAAGCAATTGATATATTATGCCAATATTTTTCCCCTGGCTTGCTTGGCATTGAGGAGGTAAGTTAGGGGTCGCCGATGAGCTTTGCCCCCAATGAAATGCGAGATGAGAGAAGTACTTAGCTCTCCAAAGGTACTAACAGTGTTCGGCTTCAGCTTGTTGAACCAGTGTCTCGCAGTTCCATTGAGTGTGGTGGCAAAAGCNAAAGGTACTAACAGTGTTCGGCTTCAGCTTGTTGAACCAGTGTCTCGCAGTTCCATTGAGTGTGGTGGCAAAAGCTCGACACTTTATTTGGTCTGAGACATTGTGGAGCATTTTTAGAGACTTGTAAGTTTTTAAGTGGTCTAGCGAGTCCTTTGTTCCATCGAATGCCTCAATCATTGGCATTTTAAACCTCTCTGGCAGTGGATAGTTTGATATATCTTGGGTGAAGGGTGACTTAGTGTTCTAGACCAGAGTCTCAATGACTTTTGGGACCCAAGCTTTCATCATATTCATAACATTCCCCAATTTCTCGTTTACTTCTTGGAATTTTTGCTCCCATTGGTCATTGATTTGAGGACAGAAAACTTCATTTTGACTCTAATCGACCTCTTAGTTATCCTCTGCATACTATCTGGCTTGGGATTGATCCCGTTCCAGAGAGTGGAGAATTTGCTAATTCTACTTCTTCAACTCCTTAATTTCTTTCTCTAAACCACATGACCTTTCCTGACCTTTTTACTGTGGAGGCACAACCCCTCATCTCACTGGTTGGGTATTGGGGCGTTCGTTAATTTGGTCAACTACAAGTTCTTTTGATGATCTTGTGATTGCCATGGAACTCAAAACCATAGACGGGCGCTAACTATTGATCTCGAAAACAATACCAATGAAATGATTGACGACCTAGCAATCCCCGATGAACTCCTACAAAGAAGCCAAAGACCAAAGAGACTACATTGGTCAATCTTCGATGATTAAGTCAATAAAAGTGAAGAGGATTAATTGGAATTAAGTTGGGATATAAAAAACATTATATAATACCAATACTTTTGAATATTATATAATACTTGCATTATATTGGGTATTCACAGGGTAAGTTTATTTTGAATTTTAGAGTACAACAGGACCACAAAATAATGGATAGTATAGAAATTATAGTTGTTTATTAGGATGATATAAAGTTTTTTAGCTGGTACATTAACATATATTGACAATAGGTATGTGTTACACGTGTACAAAACTTTAGGGGGTGTAGATGTAATATTTTAAATATGAGAGTCCATTTATTAAGTGAAAATTTTAAAGGGATTTAGGTGTAATTTATTAATTTAGTTTTAGACACAGTTAGTTTCAGCTGAACGTTGATACATATTTGTATATTTGAGTAGGCCTCAACAACGGGCCGGGCTGGGCTGACCCAGCCTGACATTTTTCAACCCATAAGTCGCCTGTGAACCGGGCCTCTAAGCTTTAACTAGTCAACGGGCCGATGCCGCTTGTTAGGAATTTTTAAGGCAGTGGCCTGCCCGTGGCCCAACCTATTGGGCAAAAAATGGGCTAAATACGGGTTGGGCCTTATGGTCCACTCATTGGGCCTGAAACGGATTTTTTTATTAAAAAATTACTTTTTTTGTAAGAAATTACAAAAAAGATATTGAAAATTTTATTTTTTATATAAAAACTACAAAAAGACATTAATTACGTGAAGTTTGTATGAAAAATAAATTAACAAAAAAATTATTCATATTGATTGAATTTAACAAATTTTTATATAGAATTCAATGATACATTACAAATTGATTGGTGGGTGGGACTAATTTACATCACTACAAATTGAGTACATATTAATTAGGTTAGCACCTACACAATTGTCAATCATTTGCAAGTTTTAACTTATAAAAGTTACAGATCAAATATCAAATAAATAATAAAATTATGAAATATGATTTAATTATCTTATTGAGCTAATGGGCAGGGCTAACGGACTTGTTAATGGGCCGGACTGCCAGGCCTCTGACCCTAAAAAACACCGTCTAGGCCCTATCAGCCGAGCTATCGGTAGGCCTATCAAAATTAGACACAACACGATTAACCGACACGAATTAAACAGATTTGGGTGAGACCTTAACGGGTTTGAGTGATAAACGAGTTGACCTGTTAAACACGTTTAATAAATGGATCGTGTTCGGGTGAGACCTATCAACCCGTTTATCACCTGTTTAAAAAAAATTAATATAATAATAAATTAATAATTATTTTATTTTAAAAAAAATAATCAGAATTAAAATATTATATGCATATGCAAAAAAGAAACCAAGTTGCTGAGTGGATGAGAGATTGACAATCCAATGGCCATTAAGTACAAATTATTCTTTTATCCCGTTGCATTGCAGTGTTCGATGTGGGACAGGTTACAAGGTCTTCTTGTGGGTCTGCACAGTGAACGCATAGTAAAACATTTTCACTTGAATCCCACATCGACAAATTCAAAGAAGGAGACCTCCCCATGCCTATAAAAAGCTGCTGTCCCTTTCTTTAGTAATTTAATTTTCTCACTTGCCTTTGCAAGCGCCAACCAAGTGGAAATCTTTTAATTAAGAGAGTACAATTGTTGTGGATAATTAATGGAGTTAAAAATTTTAATGGAATAATTTTTTAGTATAGGTTAAAATTTTAATAGAATAATTTTATGAAAATTAAATAGATTAAACGAGTCGTGTCGTGTTACCCGTTTATTAAACGATTCGTGTTCGTGTTGAGTTTTTTCACCCGTTTATTAAACGAGTCGTGTATGAGTTTATATGTTTTTCACCCGTCACCCATTTAACCCGACACGTAACCGTTTAAACCGACACGTTTGACACCCTTAACTATCGGGTTACCCAAGCCCTACCACTTGTACTGGGTTGCTCGTTGGCCCGTTGGGCTTTCGGGAAGTGGACAACCCATTGGACTCTGGGTTTTTTGGTGAGACCTATCTTTGAGGGTGTATATTAATTTTTTTTTTATCTTTGAGGAGCATATTAAGATTCAAAAATCTTGCTAAGTTCGATTTGTCATTAACTCTAACAAATATAAAAAGTATCTCAAATTATCTTGAGCCGCTGCTCAATATTTACTCGATAATTGGAGGGGACTGTAGTGATAGTTTGGAAAACCCAGAGGGTATTTATATATCTAGGTCCTAACTACGTGAGTGTTCTGTAATTAACCGACAAAACAACACTGCATATTCTTAACCAACAAAAAAAAAAAAAAAACACTCTTTATCTCTCTCTCTCTCTGCAAAGGGTTTCGAAGTCTCCCATGTCTGCGAATTTCTCCTTACAATTCGCTTTTTCCGATCTCCGTCGAATTCAATCATAGGGTTTATTTCTCTCTACTCTTTCAATCCACCTCAAATTTTACGATTTGAAGCCCGATTTCTAGTATCAGAGCTTCCAATCTCAAGATAAGCATCTCACTTTTTTCACGGACAAATATTCAAAACTGAAGGGCATTGATTCGACGCTTGGCGTGATGTGAGTAAGTTTCAATCGGTTCCTAGGGTTTCGTGATCATGGTGTTCTTGAATCTGAATTTTGGGTTTAGTGTAGAAATGGAAGTTGATTTCAATGGGGATGTGGCGAGTCTCGACGCCGAATTGTTGCAGCTTCCAGAGGTATCTCCTTTGGCTATAAAGACAAATCCTTATGTAGCCGAGAAGCTTTTTGAGCAATGGCTTTCGCTTCCCGNTCAATGGGGATGTGGCGAGTCTCGACGCCGAATTGTTGCAGCTTCCAGAGGTATCTTCTTTGGCTATAAAGACAAATCCTTATGTAGCCGAGAAGCTTTTTGAGCAATGGCTTTCGCTTCCCGAGACCGCTCCTTTGGTAATTTTCTTAACATCCCCCGCCCTCCTCCCCTGACCCCAATTTATAGAAAGTTCTTCTTTGTACTGTATTGTGTTGGTCATTCAATTGCATATTTTCACAGTATATATGATGCTTATCCATTTCGAATCTACAAATATTTGAAGGATACTGTATTCGATACAGACATCGACGTGGTTCATAGCCTGCACTAGACATATGATGGCAATGGAATAAATTTGTGACAGCTGAAAAGAGAAAACACATGGGATGGCAGTGGAGTTTTGGAAGGATCAATTTCTATTTGTACCATTGTCGTCTCCATGTATATCCTTGTGGACTGAATCCTAGGTGCAACATTTAGAATTCAGTCTCAAATAAACGGTGAAAGGATGGATATACTGGCATCAGAGATGCTTTATTTCTTATATCCAGTGGGAGGGAGTGTAATTTCAACATGAGAAATCTGGGACGAAGAGGGGTGAATAACTCAACTGTATCCAAAGAATATTCTTTCGTTCTCCTTCTCTTTGATAATCTACAAAATAGTCAAGAGTATTGGAATGTAATGTCTTTCCCAAGGTTACCTGGATCTTGGATCGCTTGGGGACGTGACATGATACTTTCTTAGGTATGCGGTGCGATGGATAGGCTTAATTGGTATGTTACTTTGGGTCGCAATTCGTTTTAGAACTCTTAACTAGATTGTTTTCATTACTATACAATATTATATGATAAAGAACATCCATAAACAACCAATTACCATTTATCATATATTTGTGCTTGATTTTCTATTATCCAAAATAATATGTGATTATAAATCTATATACATGTAGGCAATTAATATGTATTTTATATATGTGCTACATATTCAAAAGTGAATTGATTTAGGGTTAGTATTATAATTTGGGGTCGTATATTTTGGTGATCTAAATCGTGAACTCACCATGTTTGAGATCGATGTACTTAGATCGTGCGTCGTCATGAGTTTAGTAAATTCTAGTAACCATAGTCTTTCCTTAACACTTTCCAAAATAGAGCTATAAATAGCTTAGAACTTAGAAGGAGAGCTGAAACCTATCCATCTTGAATAACAAGCACTGAGTTGTGACAGGTGGCTGTCATATTATGAATCGCATGCCTAGACATGGTCAAAGGTGTGGATTGACAGTCCAAAAAAAGGACCCACCAAATTTTAGTAGGAATTGAATAGGGAGGTGGGAAGCATCTATGACTGAATATACAACTATAACCATGATGCCAGTTTTTGATTAGTCAAAAGTGATATCTAATTATAAGTAGGAGGGCCCAAAGTGGCGTACAAGGAGCCCTATATGCCCTCGAAAGCTTAATTCCCAAGGCTTCACATGGGCTTGGAGAGCTATGACTTTAATGCACTTAAACTTCATTAGGGATACTCCTACTTAATCCAAAAAATAACATTCTAGTGTTCAGTTAATATAATAAAGTTTGTCCAGATTGCAGAAATAAAAACATACATTAAAATTCGACAAGAATGCATCTTGTATGATTCTAATTACTGCAATTTAACTACTCATGGTTTTTGTGATGTTTTTTTCTACTGGTGCGACATCTAGTGAAATTTGGAGATTTGAAACGTGAAATGTTTGAGTACATTTTGGGAAGTTGTTACTTTATTGGGTTGGTTCCGGTGGAAAAAAATCCAAACTAAAACCAATAGATAAGAGAAGCTTTTAAACAAGCCCAAAAATAGGGTGATGTATATAAGACAATCAAGTAGAAAATGAAACAAGAGGACCTTAGGAAGGCTCATAGGGTATATGCTAGAACATGCACCAAAGCCATTCTTACCATCTATGTAAATTCTAATTGGATCCCCTAAGTTATGTGAAAACAACACGACAACCCTTGATATTTCCAATATGACACATGAATCCCACTTTGAGACTTTAATTAAGAACTGGTTTATTTATTCTTTTTCGAAATTGGTCAAAATTAGTATAATCTTGGTCGAAATCTAATAAATTAGAGAGAGGAGAGTAGTGAGCCCACCCCATATGGTATCCCAACCCCTTTTTTCACGCCTCTAGTTTAGCCAAAGGATCCCTCCCTCCTCGAAACACTGCCCTCACCCATCCTCGAAATAGTAACCTCTCATAATGCACTTTCGCTCCCATAAATCCACCCTCCAAAACCCCCATTGCGGCTCTAGTTGCCCTTCCATAGATCCCTCACTCTTTCCCATTCCTCCTTTTTCCCTGAAACCACCATGTCCTCCTACCGTAGTCCCCACAACCGATGCAATCAATTTCTAGAAAAATAAAGATATAATGCTAATATGTCATTACCACTAGTAAGGGCATTTTTGCAATTTTCATTTATTCTTAGGGTTTTGGCAGAGGCAAGAAATAAGCCTTTAAGGGTGAAATATAGGATGCTGGAAAAAATGTGAGACTTCAGAATCTTGATAGAGCCTTTGGCTGTGTATCCTTCTCATCTCTATTCTCTCTCCTTGTGGATTCAAGGCCCCTAATGTATTTTGGGGTTTCTCGCCTTTCTTTTTTCCCCTTCTTTACTCTTCTTGAGGTTTCAAGGCTCCCATTGTCTTGGATTTCCCACATTTCTTGCTTGTCTGTCTTCCCCTCTATACCCTATCTTTTGTATACAAATCTTATATAGGAATGAGCATAAATTGAAGTTTATGAATTTTTCCAGCCATGTGTTCAATAAAATGCTCAAGAGCTAGGTTACATCGACACCCCTCCTCTAATTTCCTAAGAAAACAATAGAAGAAATTAGAGTTTGATTTTCAAAGAGTTTGGATGATGCAGATACGCAGAGTGGAAATTAAATTGATTCACTCAGAAGAATTTCAATTTCAAATAGGTTTGCTAATTCACGCAGATGTTGAAAATTATATTCCAAGCAAGTGTAAAATGAAAAATATGCAGCATAACAAATCCATAAATTTTTGACTTTAGATAACATTATCCAATCAAGACATCAAGTTCCTCATTGGTGCAAAGTTCTCCAATTAATGCCAACACACATGTGCAACTTCGGTTGATTTTGGTTGACTTGGGTATATTTCTCATAGATCCCCGGACATTTGGTCAAATGACATAGTGATCCTCTAACGAATGCCAACTAGAAAATTCATCTATTTTCAACAATGCCCCTATATAGTAAGACTAAAGTTTTAAGATAAATTTAGCTCCAAAATTTCATATTAAAAGCTGGTTCCACCCTCTTTCCATATTTCAGACATAATATTTGATGCAATTTTAAAAAAAACTAATTAATTGACTAAATCTAACCAATTTCACCAATTAAGCTAAATATATCCTTAATTTGTATCCAATCTAATCAATTAGATACATTTAGCCAATTTTATTGCTAAAATTGAATTTAAATGAAATTAGTCCATTAATTAAGATAATTTAATCCCCAAAACTAAAATTTGATTAATTATGTCATTTAAGCTAAATATATTTCTAATTCAAGTCAAATGCTTACATTTGTTATTGAATCCAGACCAAATCTAGTTAGTACATCAAATTTGTCTTACAAAAATTATGTCTCACACCACTACCACCACCACTGTCTAACATCTCTCCTTTCTTCATCTCTCACATCTTTTATCTCTCTACCTCATCTTTTTGTTCAAACAAATTAAAGATATATCTAGCTCTTGAACCAAAAAAGGGTAAACATTGTATCCTCATCCATCGCGATTCAGTGGTCTGAATCTAGCGCAACTCGAGATCGATGATAGACCAAGGTTGGGTGTTGCGGTGCTATGCAATGGTGATTTGCATTAGTGCATGTGTGTGGTTGATTTTGGGAGTATTGTTGCGGTGGTGCATTGGGGAAGAAGATGAAAGAGGTGGGCAATGGTGGTGGTGTGCGGTGCTTTGGTGTTGCAAAGGAANTAAATCCACCCTCCAAAACCCCCATTGCGGCTCTAGTTGCCCTTCCATAGATCCCTCACTCTTTCCCATTCCTCCTTTTTCCCTGAAACCACCATGTCCTCCTACCGTAGTCCCCACAACCGATGCAATCAATTTCTAGAAAAATAAAGATATAATGCTAATATGTCATTACCACTAGTAAGGGCATTTTTGCAATTTTCATTTATTCTTAGGGTTTTGGCAGAGGCAATAAATAAGCCTTTAAGGGTGAAATATAGGATGCTGGAAAAAATGTGAGACTTCAGAATCTTGATAGAGCCTTTGGCTGTGTATCCTTCTCATCTCTATTCTCTCTCCTTGTGGATTCAAGGCCCCTAATGTATTTTGGGGTTTCTCGCCTTTCTTTTTTCCCCTTCTTTACTCTTCTTGAGGTTTCAAGGCTCCCATTGTCTTGGATTTCCCACATTTCTTGCTTGTCTGTCTTCCCCTCTATACCCTATCTTTTGTATACAAATCTTATATAGGAATGAGCATAAATTGAAGTTTATGAATTTTTCCAGCCATGTGTTCAATAAAATGCTCAAGAGCTAGGTTACATCGACACCCCTCCTCTAATTTCCTAAGAAAACAATTAGAAGAAATTAGAGTTTGATTTTCAAAGAGTTTGGATGATGCAGATACGCAGAGTGGAAATTAAATTGATTCACTCAGAAGAATTTCAATTTCAAATAGGTTTGCTAATTCACGCAGATGTTGAAAATTATATTCCAAGCAAGTGTAAAATGAAAAATATGCAGCACAACAAATCCATAAATTTTTGACTTTAGATAACATTATCCAATCAAGACATCAAGTTCCTCATTGGTGCAAAGTTCTCCAATTAATGCCAACACACATGTGCAACTTCGGTTGATTTTGGTTGACTTGGGTATATTTCTTATAGATCCCCGGACATTTGGTCAAATGACATAGTGATCCTCTAACGAATGCCAACTAGAAAATTCATCTATTTTCAACAATGCCCCTATATAGTAAGACTAAAGTTTTAAGATAAATTTAGCTCCAAAATTTCATATTAAAAGCTGGTTCCACCC